TGATCCCAGCATTAAAAAAATAAGATTTTTTAAATATTTTAATGATATATATTTTAATACATTATAAAATTTACAATTTGGTCACTCAAATACACTTCAAAAATGCGTTTTAATATAATTAAAATTACATTGTCTTATAAAAATACATTATAAAATTATTTGAAAAAACATTTATTTATAAAATTATTTGAATTTTCGGGCCGGTTCATAGTTGGTCACCATAACCAGTCCCGGTCGGTCCTAGTCCCACGAAACTGCCAAAAACCTCAACTGGTCCCGGTTTTCGGTCCCGTAACCGGTCCGAGGTCCGGGGCCGAGCCGGGCCGATTTGTCCATCACTATGTGTGTGTGTATATATACATATATCACAAAGATTTTTTCAGTGAACTTTCATTCCTATTTTATGTCCATATTCTCGAGAATTAGGATACGTCGACCCCCTCAGTCACTACGAACGCCTCCAAATAGGAGTTAGCACACAATATGTTAGTACCATCCAACCGAATCCAGAAAAACAGATGATCTGTTGAATTTAAACGACACGTCGTTCCGTCGACACAATTAGTAGATATTTTTCTTGAGCTACAACGTTCTGACAGTCAAGGTATATGTAATTGCTACAAAATATTGGTAGTCATACTACATAACTTAAAATGCATAATGACTGTTTATTTGTTTTTTCTTGGTTATAGAACAGTAAAGGAACTTTAGAAAAATGACTGGTTAGTGTTTAAACAGTATTTTCAGGTTATCAGTAAGAGTGTCTCAAACAACTATGTTATAATTTTTCTAAAACAGAGTATGAAAAGTCAAAATCTTTTAAAAAATCTATATCAAACTGTAACAGCTACTCTATTTTAGCAATTCTAGCATTAAATATATTAATAAAACCTTCAATGTATTTAATAGAATATTTTTTTTCTCTTTCTTACACGTGGAACTTCAATAAGTTTAATTGGTTGAATATAATTAAAATAATGTTTTTTTATTAATTGGTTGAATATAATTAAAATAATGTTTTTTTATTAACATGGATATCCAACCCGTTATGCGAGCCGACTAATCCCAGGACGACCACCTGCTTTGCAGATAACCCGGAGTCACCACATTTGAACCTCTATGGCCACAAGGAGATTTTTATTTTTTCCTTGGATTTGAACCTAAGACCTATTGGTACTTTTGATCTTTGGAGCCAAGCTCAAACCAATCAGGCACCCCCCTTGTGGTTATGTTTCTCTCTTTTCTATAGACTTTTAGAATATTTTTACGATTAACCTGGATATCCAACCCGCTATGCGAGCCGACTAATCCCAGGGCGACCACCTGCTTTGCAGATAGCCCGGAGTCACCGCATTTGAACCTCCGTGGCCACAAGGGGATTTTTATTCCTTCTTGGATTTGAACTTGAGACCTCCTGGTACTTTTGACCTTTGGAGTCAAGCTCAAACCAATCAGACATTTCCCTTTTAGTGATTTTTATAATCTCTCTCATCTTTTCTCTATTTTACTGCCATTTAGCTAATAAACCAATGGATATTGAGGTTGATCTCAATTCCAGCGATGGTTTCATCAGATATCTTATAACTAGAATCCCTCTTTTTTTCCGATACAGTCCCTCCACCACCGCAAACCCCAGTTGGAACAACAAAAATATTAAAATCTCATTTTTTTTTTATTTTAACATAGCTGTTCGGAATGCTCTAACATATCAGATATGTAATCAAAAAATAATTTTGAATTATTATTTACATAAGAAATATGTAAACAATCTTGTTTCTTTTAACAAACAATTTGGGTTATTAGTAGTAACATGGTATATTTGTAACTTGTTAGTAATGGGCCCAAATTGTTGTATTTTGAGCCCATTAGTCTATTGGGCTTTATATCATTAGCCCATTCTTTGAGTAAACTACTTTTTCGACTTTTGTTTTTGTCAATTTTTAACGATTTTGGTCCCTTTTATCTAACGGTCGTTAACTTTTATCGTTAAATTCAGTTAGTTGAGGATATTTTAGTCATGTTCATCATTGTCTTAATTTTATATTGAAAAACATAAAAAAAAATGTCTAAAAAAACCCAACAAACTTTCCTATTTTAAATGGCTTAGTCCCTAAGCTTTTCTTTAATGATAAAACCATTAAACCTTCTCATTTTGAATGATTAAGTCATTAAATTATTTTTTTAAACGAAATAATTATTTAATTTTCTCATTTTGAATGAAAAACCCATTAAGCTTTCTCATTTTGAATGATTAATACCCTGAAAAAAATTAATAGAGAAACCATCGAACTTTTGCTAGTCGATTACATATAACTTTTTTTGGACGGTTTATTTATTAAAAAAATATTTAAAGACTTAATCATTTAAAATGAGAAAATTTAATGGGTTTTTCATTAAAAAAAATAAGTTGGTAAGCCATTCAAAATTAAAAAGTTCGATTATATTTTTTTTCAACTTTTCCCAAATAAAAAAAACATATTATAATTTTACTAGAAGCGTACTCGCGCAATGCAGCGAGATACATCGTGTTTTTTTAATATTTTATTTTATTCTTTATCTCAGTCGATGTTATAATATGGCTTTATGTGATTTTGAGAAAGCGATGATGTTTTTATTTTTGAATAAAATATATGTTTGA